CCCCAAAACCCCAAAACCCCAAAACCCCAAAACCCCAAAACCCCAAAACCCCATAAGAGATGAGATTATTGAAAGATTATTTGAAAATTCTTAAATTTCCAAACTCAAATCGATAGCTGAGACATCATTAAATGGCATGTGGTGTCTGTCGCCTCCAAAGACGATGTACTCGCACTCGTTAAGCATGATGCCTGTATGACCATCTCTTGGCTTGGGGTTGAATCTAGGGACCTTACCGTATTGCCTCTTGGCTGGTGAGAACTCGAGTGAATTATCAAACCTTGACTTAAATGATTTTCCTCTTTCTACTTTCTTATTCTTTTTAAATAATCTGTCCATATAAGCTTTATTGATGGAGTTTATAAGAAAAGAGTTCTGCATTGATAAAGATGTAGGTGTGGTGAGCAAAGTATGATCATTAAGCTCATTCTCTTCCCTTCTCTTTTGTCTTACTAGCTTCTGAAGCTTCTTCTTTGAGATATCCATGGAGTAATTCATGGAATTTCTAATTCTTTTTATGAGTCTTTGTCTTTCTCATACTGAGTGCAAACTGTGATTTTCCCATGATGTTCGCTTTCTGTGCAGAATTATTATATTCACTATGAACTGGACTATTTTTATTCATACTTGAAAAAGAAGAGTTCATTGATTTGTTGTGATTTACAGGAGATGAGGCATCCTCAAACATACTCACCCAGTTACCATTTTTAGTATTGTACAAATACATATCACATAACTCTTGAGTTAATTCGTGAATCCCCGCATAAATTATGATGTAGTCTTTGTAAACTCCAGTCGAATGGCCGCTCCTTGACAATGGGCCTTCGTTCTCTGGAATGAAAATGTTTGACCACTTGTCATTCTCAATGTCATATTTCCAAAAATCTCTAAGCTTGTTGTTCTCAATGTCCTTGCCTCCGAACACGTACATAAACCCGTCTTTGACCACAGCAGAGTGGCTTGATCTTGGAGGAATACCATCTTCATGCTCTTTGACTGACCATTCCTTTGAGTCCAGATTGTAAATAAATATTTTGTTTGACTTGAAACCATTCACATTGCCTCCAAAGATATACAGGTTTCCTTGGTAAATACAAGCTGTGTGCTCGTCAATCGATGTGAGATCGTCAGGCTTGGGGTCTCTATCGACTCTCCACTCCATCTTAGCCAGATCAAGAAAGAACACTTGTTCGTTGTCCACACCCAAGTTGGAGCCTCCTACTAAAATGCAAGTGTGGCTGTCGATCAGAGATAGGGTATGATAAGCAATTTTACCAGGTTTCTTGATGCCTTTGATTTCGATTTTCTCCCAGATGTACTGGTCACTTGAAAGATCAAGTCTCCAGAATCCACTAAAAGTGCCTTCTCTGATGTCATGGCCTCCATGAATATAAAGGCAGTTGTTGTGAATGAATGAAGCATGGAAGCCTCTTCTCTCTGGACATTTTCCTTCAGGTCTGAACTCCATCCAATTTGAAACATTCTGTGGTAAAATATCAGCGTTCATTGAAGAGTCTACTTTCTTGCTTCCCTCATGAAGCCCCGTAGAAGCATGAGGATGTTTCTCGATCATCTTCTTTGTTTCCTCAATAAGCCCTGGTAGCTTAACTTCTTTTCTCAAGTCAGTTTCAGACATTATAAATTTGAATTAATATTTTAATTTCAATGAATAAAACATACTAGGGGTTTTGGGGTTTTGGGGTTTTGGGGGTTTGGGG